ATATACTGTCTTCAGTCTTAAATCGTTCAGCGTTACAATATTTTAACTGCTACTTACATTGGAATTGTTGTGGATGGACCAGCAACCTGAACTTCTGCAGGGCCAATCTGACTTCTTTCACTTGGCCTAAAAATTTTTTTGATAGCAATAACAATAACAGAAGGTTATTGCGTTAAAATATTATTATCGACCGGCTAGGGTACAAAACCACGATTTCGATAAAATATTTATACAAGTAAAATACGGAACTCTCTCATCCTTCTGTTGAAAAAACCATTTAAAAGCCTGCAAAAGCAACAGCAGCAACCACAGCTTATTTTTTACGCAACAAAAAGCAATAAAAAAGCTTTTTTTAATCCAAATATTTTTGAAATAAAAAAACCTTTCCTCTCTCAATAGTCCCGTAGTCCGGAAAAAAAAAACCAACGCCCCACCGGAAAAATGAATAAAAATTGCAAAACATTAAGATATACAACAAAAACAACAGAAAAGCCAATTTAAAATAACGGAAACAGTTACCGTGCAGCTCACTTAAAGAAACGGAAAAAAATACCCAACTAAGATGAGTAGCAAACGGAGAAAAAAGCAAAAGAAAACGTCTATCAATTATTGTTTATAATCACCAGACAGGGAAAAGACTTAATATTGGTATCAATTTGCTTGTTTGTTGAGTTTCGGCTATGCGTGGATTAAGTGTAACACAAAACAAGTATCCCACTAACATAAATATTCCTTTTTAATGTTTGAAAAAAAAAAAACAAAAAAAAAAGGCAAAAAAAAAAAGAAAATCAGTACGAAGTCATGACAAAACAACTCCAAACAACAGCTATGAATCAAAAGCAACTCGAGTACTTACCGGTAATAGATGGTTTCTTCATTTGGATTTGTCGTATGTCCAATATTTGCCAGTGGTGTCTGAATCGGCTTTCGGCTGTTCTCCTGCATATCTAAAAAGCACGAACGTACAAATTTTTGTTATATTAATCGACCGCAGTTTGCCGGCATAGGATTCATAGGTGGGACAGATCAATGTACATGGCAACAAAAAATAAAAAAATAAAATACAACCATCATCATCAACCAAAATAACGACAACTGAACACACAGTGATAATGGATTAAATACCTCAATCACAGAAAAAAATTGTTTGAAAAAATATCGATGTACATACAAATGAACAAACAAAAAATCTGAAAAAAAAAAGCCATAAATTGATGAACCATGAAGCTGCTGAAAGACCTGAATCAACGAATCTGTCCATTTGCTGCTGCTGACCCCAACAACAAACCCCAAAGTTACATTTCTCCTTTCTCTACTACACCGTTTCTCTCAGCCCTTTCATCCTTCTTTTCCCCACCTGTTCACTTTGTCAAATCCCCATAACTATTACACCTCTTTGACGTTCTATACTTTTCCTCACCCACTTCCTCTTTTCTACTCCTTGAAAACTTTGATTTTTACAGTAAAACTTTTTCTTCTGCCAAAAACAATTACTATTAAACGCAATGATTATCGTTTAACGACATACCGGGAAAAAGAAAATAAACGGAAAGCCACAAGTCCTATCCCCTGCAATTTTTGCAACTGAATGAATGAAACAGCTCAACTCTATAAGCAGCCACAGCTACTCAAATTTGAGCACCAAGAATATTTCTTGTTGAACATCACCAAATATCGCATTTACCATGCAATTTCTGGACAACAATCCCAAGCATATACACACATACAAACAACACGCAAAAGCACACACAACACATACACACACTCACAAATACACGCAAAAATTGAACTACACGGGGCGAACGTCATCACCGTTATCAAAAAAAAAAAAAAAAGGCACTAAAAACAAAAATAAAATCTTCCAACCATCAGCTAACAAGCTACAAAAAAGTACATAATACGTATATCCGAACAAAAGAGTGCAAAAAGCGGAAAACAATTACCTGTCAAATATTTTTTGAAAAGAAAGCAAGTAAACACTACTCCAAAAAAAACTTCTTGTAAAGATGAAATTTTGGAACAAAAACATCACCGACATCACCATCATCATTACAGTTAACAAGAAAACAACGACAGTTTCTACAACGCTGATGACAAAAATACAAAATTTTTAGAAATTTAAAAAAAAATTAAAAGAAGAAATAATAATAAATACAAATGAATTTCTCCCAGTACCACTTCCATCTAATTTTTTTTCTTGCTGCTCTCTTTTTAAATTTCCAATCAAAAATGTAAAAATATACTTACACGGAGCATAAATAAATCTAAAATTCAAGAGAAATAAAAAAAAAAAAA